CCATCTCTCCCTGCAGCTCCCAAGACGCATGAGCTAAGGACACTTCCCACCGTTCCTCCTTCCCTAAACGGAAGGAGCCCAACTCCCTCCACAGCCCAACACCGTCCGCACAGCGCTGTTCTCCCTGCGGGCAGCGGGTGCAGAGCAAGGCCCCGTGCACCGCTACGCGGCGGCCCGGCTCCGCGGTTCTCCGGTGGCGACCGTAAGCGGGGCCTGACTCGGCGCTCTCCCGCTATGCAAGAGCGCCCCCAGCCGCGGGCCCGCAGCGCCGCACAGCGCCGCCTCCGGACCTCAGCGCCTGCAGCCGCCCTGGGTCGGCGGCCACGGGGCCCCGCTGTCCCCGCAGCGCGGCGCGGGCAGTGGGATGAAAACGGAGCCCAGCGGGAACTGCAGGGCTGAGTGCACGCCCTGGGCTCTGTGAAGCTGCCGCCTGCGTACGCTAACTGCCCGAGGTTAATCGGGAAAGGAGCAGGGGGAGGTAAAATCCTCCTCTGAGGGGGCCAGGGGATGGACAAAGCTCTGTCGGGCCAACGAAGCAGAGACAAGCGGGGACAGGTGGGGACAAGAGAGGACACGAAGGGCCTCGTCCCCGCGGACACGTTGGTGACTTAAACCCATGAGTCCAACTCCCGCGTCTGTCCCTACATATCGGTCGGCTAGCGAAATACCTTCAGAGCATCAGAGGGAATTCGGGCAGCAGGCAGACAAAGCCGCGACCCCTCGGAGGTTTCCGGGCCCTGCCCCTGTCCCGGGGCTGCCGCGGCGCTCCGAAGGCGAACCTGCGCCAATCGGGAGCGGCTCTGTGCGCGCAGTCCCACGGGGCTCTCCCGGCACTTCTGGCATTCCCGAAACTATTCTCACAACGCCCGAAAGGTGAAGGAAGCCCACCGCTTTTTCTCTAACGATGTGTTCCGATCCCAACCAAGCCATTCCTTCCGGAGCCCGCGCGGTCCGCGTATCGCCCGCCCCTCTCTCCACGCACAGCACGCACCGAGCGCGGCTCGGGCCCGGCACTACTAGCGGAGATCCGCACTCACCGCAGCCGACGGAGCGCCCTTTCCCGCGCCTCCCGCAGCTTCTCCGGCGGCTCCGAGAGCAGACGCAGCCCCGCTCCGGGCGGGTGGCTGTTCCTCTGGCGTCGGTGCGAGCGGAGCAGCGACAAAGCGTTAATAAAGGAACTAAAACCTGGAGAGAGAGTGGGAGAACTGCTAAAGCGGCGAAGAAAGTTCCAACTTACCGATGGGAGCGAGGGGGAGGGGAAACGGGGGGGGGGGGAGGAAACGTTTCGAAGAGAGGCCAAAAAGAAAAGAAAAGAAAAGAGAAGAAAAGAAAAGATAAGAATAGAAAAGAAAAGAAAATCCTGCCGTGTTAGAGGTGCTCGGTAACTCTGCCCGAGGACGAGAACCGGGGACAGCGCCGTTCCGCCACCTCCCGGCTTCCCGAGCCCAGGGGGAAGCGGGGCCACACAGAGCGGTGCGGGGCGGGCGGCGGCGGTGGGGTCCCGGCTGCGGAGCGCTGCGCCGAGGGCAGGTTCTCCGGTGAGGCAGCAGCGTGCAGGAACTCCGCCCTCTGGGCACAGCCGTACAGCCCAGCGAGCAGCCGCAGCCAGCCCCGAACCCGCTGCTGCTGCTCTTCACCTTCACCTCCCGCTCCCCCGCTCCCGCCACGCCTGACCCCGTCACCCAGGCGCTGCGCTGGGCGGGGGGTGGGGGGCGGCACGGGGAAGTGTGGGGCAAAGCCCGCCGAGGGGTGCTGCGGGGTGCGCGGGTGTGCGTGTGCGCATCCCCAGTTGTCTATCGCCCTCCTTGAGTTCTGCACTGTGCAATAGGTACGTGTCTGCACCTTCCTTGGGTTCTGCGCTGTGCTGTTGAGAGCTATGCAGTATGTCCTAAATGGCGGTGCAGAACTCTCAGTGAGCTTTCAGAACGGAAAATATCACCAATAAAAAAATAGAAAATCTTTTTAAAAGAAGTTATCATGTATCAGTGCACTTTTTCAAGCAGAACTCCGGTATGTTCAGGCCAAACGCAACTGGGTTCAGTGGAAGTTTTGCCTGAGTGCTGCTGCAGAGCCCACGTTAAAACGAGCGATGCGGGGGTGTACACCTGAGCCCCAGCTTCTGCCACAAACCCTGAGAAGTATATGAAGCAGTTCTAAAGGGCGCGGTGACGTCCCCTCTACAACTCTTCTTCCTTTTTTTTCCTTTTTTTTTTTTTTTTCCCAAGCTCAGAATTTAAAATATATATATATATATATATATATATATATATATATATATATCACTCCCTCAAACAGTGGTTTTGTGCCACTTAAGGCAGAATATATTATACACATACACTCTTCGATTTCCTGAGAACGCTTTCGTGAGATAACGGATGCTATTTCACTGAAACTTTTTTTTTTTAGTCTGTCAAAAAAATACCCTATTTTGGATTCGAGATATAATTTATTATCTCTCACACGCGTTTGCGAACACAATCTTAAAACCGTAATTGCAGGTTTCTTGATGAGCAGTTTTCTTCCGCTACGGTCTATGCAAGCAAAGTTAATCGCCTCAAACACCATCTCGGGAAACAAAAACAGCTCTAGAGTCCACACAGACCGAATAGCACAAATAGGGAAACGCGGAGAAAAGGTGCTGAGACACTGCAACACTCTGCAAAGCACATCACAAAAATCCTGAGAGCTCTGCCCGAGGGTTTGGCATGTAACGCCTAATGGAAATAAGGATCAGATAACAGAATCATTGCCAGATATGAAATGAAATAAAATAAAATAAAATGAAAAATAAAATAAAATAAAATAAAATAAAATAAAGTAAAATGAAATGAAATAAAATAAAATAAAATAAAGTAAAATAAAATAAGTAAACCTCACATTCTCTACCAAAAGATTCTGCATAAAGAAGAGCCCCAAAGACACTCTTAGCTAACAAAAGAGTTTATATGCCTGGAAACAAGCTAAGGTGAAGGCATATTTTGGGCCTTAGCGGAGCTGCTACATCCCGTGACAGCCTCAGCATTTTTTCCTCCCGCAGTCTCAGCGCTGACCGTGCGTGCACTGAGACGCGCATACCTTGCAGCCCCGGCACCAGCCCTTCTCCCGTACGTGGGAGGGAGGGAGAGGTGCACCTGAAGCTCTCGGGCAGCATTGGGCTGTGCTAAGCCCAGCGCAGAGCGCTCAGAGCCCACAGAGGTGAACTCTGAGGAGCCATCCACTGGAGTCCCCTTCCCGGGAGTTATTATGCATCACGCTTATCTAATTAATGCTATTATCCAGTCCCAAACTGCCATGGCTCTGAGATTGTGCCTTCCTCCAACCACACTCTTCTTGTCTCCTTTTTAGCACACTCTCAGCAGATTTTTTTACACTGCAATCTAAATAATACTTTAAGTATGTGCTATTGAGTTACCTGAGGTATACAACCGATTGGAAGTGGTAAATAATAAATCATTCTCTTTGTCAGCTGCAGCAGATGCCATCCTTTTAATTTGTTTAAGCACAAACGTACAGAGCGGGGTCCTGAGGCTCCAGGAGTTTCAATCACACCTATTTCACTGTATTATTTCTGATGGCCTCGTTGCAAAGCAGGCTCTTTTTTCTGTCTTTCTTTTTTTCTGCCTTTCTTTCTTTCTTTCTTTTTCTTTCCAGTTTTTGCTATCTCTTTTTTTAATGACAATGGAGGGAAGGCCGGGGGGAAGGGCTCTTCCAAGTGGAGGTATCACCTTTTTCTCCCCAAACAAAGCGGCCCTTCTCTCGCGGCGGTGATTAATCTGGAATTGCAGAGGTGAGAGTGGATCAGAGGATACCAGAGTTTTCACCGCAGTCCCCCACACAGCGCGGGGCCGGGCATCCCAGCTCCCAGCAGAGTCCTTCGCTCCTCTCGCTTCCGTGCACATTTGCCTGCATCTGTTTATTCATCACCAATTTTATTCATCTCCTTCCTCCCTTTATTCTTTTAAATATTCTCATTGCGAGAATTCATATTTCCTATTGCTTCTTCATTCACCCTCAGATTTTTTTCCCCTTTTTCTTTCTCATTCCTGCTTCCTTCTGCTCAGCTCTTTCAAGTGCCCGCGTTACCATCTCCGAGCCCCGCATTATTTCCCGGGGCCCATTGTAGCGTCTGCCGCTCAGCGTTACGAGCCCAGAGCTGCCCCAACACCGCAAATGAACAGCTCCGTTCTCCGCTGCGGGAGCCAATTAGCTGCTAAACCTTCTGCACAACTTTTCTAATTATTTTCAACAGTTATGGCTTTCACAGGGCTCCCTAAACTGACCAAGAAAGGATTAAATACTCCTTAAAATCAGTCATCACGTTGCCTCCTAAAATTAATGGATTGGTTTTCTGTACTCGGGTTAGTTTGCTCGGATTTGTGCCAGCACTGTCCTCAGCAGGCATAGTGCAAAAGCAGGCCAGTCCTGAACTTTGTATTTGAACATATCCACACTTCTCCCCCCATCACCACCACCACTCCCCTTCCCCCACCCCCCCCCCCCCCCCCCCCCCTCAATTTCAATCCCTGCCCCAGCACCGCATCCTGCAGGCCCTCATCTGGCTCAGCACAGCCCGCCCGGCCCGGCCCAATGGCTCGCTCCTGCCCGGCCACCGGCGGACGTGGGTCAGGGGCGGAGGAGGTGGCTCGAGCTCCCCATACAATCCTTTGCAAAACAGTTTGCCCAAGGTTAGCAGCATTGAAAGTCTGCAAGTACAGAGCACAGACACTTCCGGAACTGTGGAGCTTTCAGATAAAGATTGCATTTAATACACGTACGCAGCATAGCTTGCCAAATTTGATCAAGTCATTATAGGAAAGCTAATATGTATATGTATATATACACACATTCATAGTTCATATAGCTTCACTTATCATACAGTCGGAATAATGCCTTTTGGATGGATAATTCTTTCAGATCATACCAAAGATTGCAAAAAAAACCCCAAAAAACCAAATAACCAAATAACAAAAAAAAAAAGCAACAACAACAAAAAAAAAAAAAACAAAAAAAAAACCAACCAAACAAAAAACCAACCATGTCCTTAAGAAATAAACCGTGTACCTGTACTTTTTCCTAGCGCATTACATATATATGTATGAATATATATGTACATATCTACATACATTCGCAGTGTTAAGCGCGCTCAGTGTCAGACCGCTCAGCACGACCCCCGCCTTGCACTGCCATGCTCAGGCCCTACACCTCGCGTGGGGCCGTGGGGTATTGCTAAAACCCGCTCCTTTCTGTCCCCAAACATTGTGGTTAAACACGAGGTGATGTGGGGGTTGGAGAAGGAGCTTGTGAAAAATGGAGGGCCGCTGGGCTAGGCAGCGTGCTGACCTCCCTGTAACTTTAAAGCCTCAGGAATTTTAATTTTAGTTAATAAAAGAGACAAAAAAACTATCAAGTATATATGAATTTAGCCTATTTTTTTTTTTATTTCTGTGTGTTCATAGTAAACATTTTTGTAAGTGACAAACACGGGCATATGACCACAGTATCACAATCAAGAAATTTTAAGACAACATTAACAATCACTCAAATTTATGCGGCATTTGCGCAACACAGGTTACATATTTGCAAGGTTTACCTATAAGTACAATAGGTATTAACATTTCACTACATTTAGAAAAAAAAAAAATAAAGGTGACCTGTTAGTGACCACATACATCAAAATATACACAACACAAACTGAAGGCAATCAGTAATTTTGTCCCCTTCGGAATCATTGGAACGGGCAGTGCTGCGAACTGAAACAATGCGGCTGTTTTTAAATTACTCCGTACACTGAGTGCATTTTCTAAAACCCAATCTTTGGTCTAAAAGTAAACAAACAAACAAACAGGAAAATAATAATAATAATAATAATAAAGAATTAAAAAAGAAGAAGAAGAAGAAGAAGAATGAGTAGAAGAAATCCCAAAAAAAAACCAAAGCAAAAAAAAAAATAGTTAGGTAAAGAAAAAGATAAAATTATAAATGGCCAAAACGTAGTTTTTGGGCATCTCTCAGTATGAATCTGCTTAAATACAAATTACACTTTCTTTTTTATAGTTTTCACAAATCTAGTGGCTTTTTTCAAGGTCTGCACCCACCGACATATCCACGATAACTTATAATACTGCAAACATGGAGAATCTGGCGGATTTAGAGATGGACTTTTTGTGTTAGAATAGGAATCGCGAAAGCAGTCACTATTAGATACACATTCTACTAGAAATTTGTCTTCCAAACTCCATAGTCTACAATGTAATCTCCCCACATTGCACCTCGCTGACACTCCTCACCCTGGTGGCATAATAAACAACCCTAGAGACTGAACAAACGTACAGAAAATGGGGGACTTAATAAAAAATACCTGGGCTTTTTTGTTTTTCTTTTTTTTTCCTTTTTTTTTCTTTTTTTCTCTTTTCAATCATCATTTACAACGCGAACGTGTGTAAAATGTTCACTTACAGTCTGATCCCATGGACGTTAATGTATTAAAGGGTTGGAAGAAGACCCCTGATTTTGATGTGTGAAATAATCGGAGAGTCCTCCGGACAGTCCCGTCGTGAAACTCGGCAAAGAGGGTCTTAGAGACTCGCACGGCAGGGTGGAGGGTGCCTGCGGCGATGTGGACGAAGAGGCGGCCCTGGCCGTCATTGAAGTGCTGCTCTGAGAAGTCATTGAGGGGTGAGGGACGTGGGGGAAAAAGTAACTCGTCTGTCCCGCCAGGAGGTTCACGGAGCAGGGGTTTAGGGAGTAGGTGCCGGAGCAGGGGACCGACAAGCCACACGGCACCGAGGCGGCCAGGGCGGCGGCCGTGAGGTGGTGAGTGGCGTAGGGGATCTCCCCGTTGACGAGTCTATCGACGCTCAACCCGTTGGACGTGGAAAAGGAGTGATTGTTCCCCAAGGAGTTCTGAGTCAACACCGAGCTGTAGGGCATGGGGTGGCTGGGGTAGGCGGACGCAGTCCCGTTGTAGCTCAGCGTGCTGCTGGCCCGCGGGTGGTGCAGGGACAGAAAGGGGGACATGGGCCAGTAGAGGGACCCCGCCCGATCCATGAAGGTGAGGCCGGTGGAGGTGAGGCGGGCGCCGCGCTTGAAGGCCAGCTTGGCCCGAGAAGTGGTGGAGCGCCGGCGCAGCTTGCCGGTGGTGCCTCCGATGAAGACGTCGTCGCTGGACGGGTCCAGCATCCAGTAGTTCCCTTTGCCCGGGTCGTCGTAGTGGCGGGGCACCTTAACGAAGCACTTATTGAGAGAGAGGTTGTGGCGGATGGAGTTCTGCCAGCCCTGCTTGTTCTCCCGGTAGTATGGGAAATTCTTCATGATGAACTCGTAGATGCCGTTGAGCGTCAGGCGCTTCTCGGGGCTCTGCCGGATAGCCATCATGATGAGTGCGTTGTAGCTGAACGGTGGCTTTTCATACTTGCCATTCTTCTTCTCTCCCTCCTTGCCTCCCTCCCCGTCCTTGCCCCCATCGGCCGCCCCCTTCTTCTCCTCGGCCGCCTTCTCCTTCTCCTCCAGATCCGCCGCCGCCGAGCCCGCCTCGCCCTTCCCCGCCAGCGCCTCGGCCTTGGCCGCCTCCAGGGCGCCGGCGGCGGGCGGCGGCAGCAGCAACGGCGCCTTCTCCTCGTCCTCGTCTTCGGCCGCAGCAGCGCGCTGGGGCTGTTGCGGCGGCGGCGGGTGGTGGTGGTGGTGGTGGTGGTGGTGGTGCGGATGGTGGCTGTTGTGGTGGCTGTGGCCGCTGTGGTTGTCGCTCTGCACGGCTTCGGGCACCAGGCTGTTGATGCTGAAAGAGGACTTGGGCAGCATTTTCACTTCCTTCCTATCTCCCATGTCCAACATCACACGCTGCGCCGAGGGGGCGGCTGGCGGCGGCCGGGGCCGGGCAGGTGGGGGCCGGGCGGGCGGCGGCACCACCGGCGGCGGCGGCGGCGCGGCGGGAGCGCAGCGTCAGGCGCTGGCACGGCATGTAGCACGGGCGGGGGACGGCGGCAGCGGTCACCGAGCGGAGAGAGCCGGAACGAAGGGGAAAAAAGAGGAGGAAAAAGGAGTAAAAGAGCCCTCTAAAAACCAAACAACAACAACAAAAAAAGCCAACACCGCACGCACACGCATACAAAAAAAAAAAAAAAAAAAAAAAAAAGCTACTTCATGGTGCCGGTTCCCCCGGTAAACCGGTATAGGGGGGAGGACGCGCCGCGGGTCGGAGAGGAGCCGGCTATACGGAGCGCCCCGGCCGCAATTAATTTCAGAGCTGCAGACACGCACCGTGGCTGTAAAAAATTTTTTGGTTTAACCTTTCCCACCGAGCGCCCAATCAGAGGCGGCGGCGTGCCGGAGCGTCCTGCCTCCCGCCTGCCAATGGCTGCGCGCAGCCACGCCCACACCTCTCCGAGACTCCGCCCCCCTCGCCGCCGCGGCTCCCGCCGCGCATGGATACCGATGCGGGGCGCATCACCGGCCGTGCCCCTCCGCGCAACGGCACTAATCTCCCCGTGCCCAACCAACGGCGCTTGGCTCCGGGGTTCTGCTCGGTAACTCCTCCGGTGGAGCAAAGTTGCTCCGTCCCTCCGTGCCACTGGGGCAGGAGGACGGGAGCCGGGGGGGCGCGCAATCCGCGCGGTGCCGGAGCAGAGGTACTACTTGGCGGATCCCGACGGCGCCCGTCGGCAGAGTGTTCCCGGGCCCCGCCGCGCTGTTGTTATTTATTTAACCAACGGGGAGCAACGAAACTCAGCCGGAGGGGTCGGGACGGCGGGGCAGGAGCTGCAGCTAGGGCGGAGGAAGGGCTCGGGCCCGATGTGGCGGCGGCAGCAGCGCCGGGCGGGTAGAGGCCTCTGGCCGAGGCCTGCGGAGCAGCAGCACCGCCGAACGAATTAAGCGCCCCTGTACCACCCGAGTCCCGCGGGCTCCGGCGCAGCGCCCCGCGCAGCGCCTCCGTCTGCCCCGGAGGGACTCAGTGTGGGCCGTGGGAAAGAGAACGGGGGCTCCATTCCGGCGGTGGCGTTGGTTCAGGGGCTCACGGAGCGGGTTCGGTGCTGCTCGACCGCATCACGGCGTTACCGCTGTGAGTACGGGCAGAAATGTGAATCGGCCCCGAAACAAAGCGAGATGAGCCCTGCGGCTTCCTCGCTCTGAAAGGAGAAGGGGAAGTGTGAGTGATAGAGTATTGGTCACGTTTAAAATCAACGCTGTGCAACAAAACGTACAGCCGGTGCCTGTCGCTGCGTTCAACTACCCAAAGTTTATGTTTGTCACGCTGGAGAAATGGTTGAAATGACACCCGCAGCCCTGCCCCAGCGTGTCCCGGGAAACCCAGTGCAGATTCCAGTGCAACCACCACGGCTCTGTGCATTTTCTGTATGCGTTTGTGTGTATGTGCGTGTGTGCGAGAGCGCGGCTGTGAGAAAGAGAGTAAATCCCCACAACAATTGCTGTGGATGGGCAATAAACAATTGCAATTGGGCATGGCACGAACTATGTGCGTTGGATTAACCTCGCTTGACCTCACCACAATTGTATTTATTTATCCAATTCCGTAACAGGTTGCTACTGACCGAAAAGAAGTAGAAGTCAATGGATCAACTGCCTTCGGTTTTTATTTATTTAATTTTTTTTAGAATTGCCGTTGTTAAAAAAGAAAAATCATGACAATTTGTATTTATTTCATTGCACAACACTGAAGCCAATAGATGGGAACTCCTGAGGAAGAGGGCAGTGTGGAGGATGTGACTGAGCTCTGCAGTGCTAGGGGTAAGAGGAAAGGTAAGCTCTATGCATACTGTTATGGTTCTGATGGGCATTAACCAATATATGTCAGTGCGGTACAGCAAGATCCCATCGGGGTGGCTGGGCCCTGTGCGTTTTCCTACTCGGTCTAGCATGTAATGATTCGGTGTAACCGGATTCTTGAGAAAGGACAGGTTACGTAAACATTTACTGCTGTGGAGTAACTATACTATTTGTACTCTGATATGCAGGAAGGAAAGTGTTGATTAACACAGAAGAAAAAAAAAAAAAAAGCGAAATTAGCTGATTGCATGCTCATAAGTGCAAGCTGTCATTGAACTGCTTTTAAAATAGACACAGCTGGGTGTTTGTGTTGAAAAATTTCTTGTGTTTTTGCTAATACTGAAATAAGCATGATTTTGTATACCAAACATTTTCAGATCATTAAAATTTCTAATCTGTGCTGGTTTTAAACACAAAGAAAAGAAACGGATTCATTTCGCAGTAAAATTTGCTGATATTATATTAACTCAATCAGGTCTGTACAAACGGGGTATTGTGCCTTATCAAATCCCTTTGATCCATTTAATACACCAAGTGCCAAACGTGTGTATTGTTTGTTAACATTGAGCGTTTTATTCAAATCCCAGCTCTGCAGCAAACCGGAGGAGCTCTCGTTTAATGTAACACTGACATCGCCTGCTGAAATTTTAATGCTCTGAGGTGTTCCTTAGGTCAAAGCTGAGTCTGCTTAGCTCTGCAGTCAGGGATGAGAATGTAGCAGAGAAAGAAAGAAAACCTTCGTCCTTTTGCATTTCTGAGCAAAGGTCCCATACGGACAGCAATGTGTTTTTACAGCGTTTGGTGATCTGGGCTTAATATTCAGTCATATATCATGGCAGCAGAATAAAGTACTGTGCAGAAATTTAGGATTTAATGATGTATTTTTTTTAGCGCCATGGATATACAGTTCTACCAAAAAAGGTAATGTTGTGTTCAATATGTAGTGCATATTGTTCCAAGTCCGTGAGATTAATTCACTGTTCATAGGACAGAAAAGGATATGTAGGAAAAGCACGTCAATTATTTAATTATTTAATTATTTCTACTGGACTTTCGAATCTGATTTTTCTTTTTCCTTTAAAAAAAAAAAAAAATCTGAAAATTCTCTATGTATAAAAGCGGGACTATTGGCTTTGGACAGACAAAGTTCTGCTCTAACACCAGTTCTTCTGCTAGCTCTGACCTGGCCGCAGCCCCCAGCCACTTCAGCGGTAGCTTTGTGTATGGTGGCCCTGAATAAATGACTGGTTTGACCCTCTCAGCTCCATCTGCACTCGAATTCCTGTGAGAGGGTCCAGAAATTTAGCACTTTCTAGCATGAAAATTTTGGTGGAAAATTTTGGCGAAACAGCTTGAACAGAGAAGGGAATGCACGGCCCCAGCCCTGCAGGGCACCGCCAGTGCGAGGAGAGGCAGCTCTCTGCTCCCCACCCTCAGGGACCCGTGGCACTATGGGGCCGAGAGAGTCCCGCTCCGGGGTGAGGGTGAGGACCCCCGGCTCAAATGCCATCCAAAGGATTGCCGTGCTGTTTGAATACAGATTCTGGATACAATTTTTACTGATAATGTTTCACCGTAGATTCTTCCCTGAGTGTTTTTTAAAAATTAAAGGCCGAAGGAAAAGTGTACCACTGTCAGCTCGATGGATGCAGATATGCTGTGACCCCCACCCCCACTCCCCGCGGCTCCAGCCTCCAGTCCCCCTTCACACGAATACAGCGGCTCTGCACTCCCAGGCTCTTCCAAGGGGTTAAGCTGCTAAAATGTCCTGACAGCTTAAGGAATGAATGAGGGTTTTTTCAGCCATGAAGAGAGAGTATTTAATAACCACGCTTCGATGGCATCATGTGTCCACGAAACGAATCGGGACACCTTAGATTAACAGCCTCTAATATCACGTTGGGTACAGTAAATGCCTGGATGTGCGCATTTATAACTCTATCCCCCGGATTCTAAGCTTGTCTTACTTATTCCAGGTTACCTGGGCAATTAAGGTAAGAGCTGCTCAGCAGACAGCGATATCCCGCTGCTCGGGCAGGGCGAATGGGGTCGGAACGCAGCGCTAACAAAGGCGAGAGGTGGTCATACAGATTGAAGAGGGGTGAATGGGCTGGAGGTGGAGGAATGAATGGAGGCAAAGAGAGAGAGGAAGAAGTATTCAGCGGTCCACCCTTACATCCTCGTTTGTATATTTAAGTTTAGGTGTCTGTCTCTAACCGACTTTCAGTTAATCCCTAACAGCTGGTCGTGGTGCTAACGTTTAGTGATTAGAAGGTACTCTATTTAGCATGCTGTATCCTTCTTGCCTGGGTTTTGGTTACAGGTTATACGATTAGCATTGCGAGAACAGTAGTGAACTAAACTTCCCAGTGAGAGGTCTTCACACCAGGGAAGTGTTACTTTGCGGCAGCAGCCCTGCCTCGTCAGTCATTAGGAAGCTGCAGGTTGTCAGAGCCTTCTCTTGCGCGCACACACGCGCACACACACACGCGCACACACACAAAACCACAGCACTAAAACTAAATTAAGAAGCCGATGATTAAGACAAGCGTCTACGAGGCCTGTCATTTCAGCATCCTTCCATCATAACATTATGGCACCGAGAAATTTGCTTTAAAACCCTGGAAAAAAATGTCTATGGGAGAGCCTTGTATTTGAGATAGCATAAACGTTATCATCGAGTGTAGGCTGGGAACTGCCGCGGATACAAGATGGTATTCCACTGAGGACACGGGTGCTGCAGGGACCTCTGGGCTGTCCGCGCACTCGGGTGAGTATCGCTCCATTCTATTGAAGCAGGTATGCAGGCACTGCGCGAATCGAAGTGGACCGTGTTTGAAATCCGCAGCTCCGTTCCTTGCGGAGACTTCGGGGAACTCCCCCTAAAGATAGATCTATAATGAAAAGTCCCTGCCGGATGACTAATGGTTATTGGCACTCGGTGCCCCTTTAAGGAGAGAGGCACATATTGTGCAGAAGACCTTGCCAGCACCCTTTAAATACAAACATTTTAAGCCCCCCTCCTATGCATCCCCACCCCTGTTGTTTTCGGGCTCGTTGTGTTGTAGCTCCTCTTCTCCCCCCTCTTTTAAGCTCCCTCGTCTTCCCTCCCCCACCCCATTCAGAACTAATTGCTCAGTTGCTGAAATGTTTCAAGAAGAGCTAAATTTCCCCATCCGATGATCTTTTGAGAAGCGGCACTGTACCATAAAGACCAGCCAGCGGGGTACTGCTGGAGGAGAGGTAGTGTTCACACAGTGACGCTCGGCACTCGGTGTAAAGAGTCCCCCTCACGCTGAACTTCAAGAGGTGTCTTGCACGGGCAGGGCTTGGAAAAACGAAGAAATGGGAAGCGATTGCTGTAAGGGACAGAAACCTTCTGTGGTGCCGTAAGCGCCGGGATAGAACGGTGACAGAAGGGGACCTCGGGAGCATCGCAGTGCGCCTTTCCTCCTGCGGCTGAAGCGGGGTGGGAAGGGATGAATTTCTTCGCCTTTGTTACACGAGAAAGGTTTTATTTATTTATTCCTATACCTGTAGAATCCCATCCATGGAAAGCCTATCTGTAGACGTCGAGCTTTCGTTAGAATTTGTCTGTTCTTTTGCCACTGCCAGAATTTTTCAAAACAGAACTTTCTGCCACTCGCTGCCAACCCGAAGGCTCGAAGGTGCTTTTTTGCAAAACCCGAGATGTCTCCCTTCTGTTACACAGCGGTGTGTTTGAGTGTCACCTCAGTCTGTGCAATGCGAATCCTTGCGAAACAAACAAACAAAAGCCATTAAGGGTCAGAATGGAAATTAAAATATCACTGAAGAATTACTCACAGAGCTATGATGATAATAAAATATAGGGGCAGTGGGCCACTTAGAAGTCGTATATGGTTCTCGAGGTTTGAATACATAATTTTATTTTCTTCTGTTTGCTGGTAAAATATTCTTGACCAATGCGGTGCATTTTATTTATTTATTTATTTATTTATTTATTTATTTATTTATTTTCTCGGAGTTATGTGGTTGAATTCAAGAATCGGGAAAAATGAGCAGTGTTTTGATAGACTTGGAGCTGCTCTTTGACTTCCAGAGTATTTTCGTAGTGCCCCTCTAAAGCCCCTTAGCCTCTTATAAATGTGATATCGAGTAAACGATACACGTATCTGGGACTGCAGTTTTTCGGTAAAGGTAAAAAAGATCATTTTCTCCCGCCCTCCCTCTCTTCTCCCCAACCCTGCCCCCCTCCTCCAGCGCAGAATCAGACCCGTCCCTCCCCGGGCATTATTCCTGAGGCGCTCGGAGCAGCCAGCGAGCACATACCCACCCACCCTACCTGGCCTCCCCGCTCCGTGCATCCATCGCAGCCCTCGGCTTAGCGGGATCCGAGCTCGACGCGATGAGCCGCGGGTCCCATTTTTAGGGCCTACAAAAGCACGACGTCCTCCCCTCTCCCCTTCATACCCCTCCTGAATCCCCCGTGTAACCACAGCAAAATGCTGGAGGTAGCACAAAAGCCACACACAACTTCACACTCGCGCAGGCAAGGCGCCTGACGAGCCCCGGAGTAAAACCACTTTTCACTTTCTCCGTGCCCGGGGCTCATGCAGGACAAGGCGGTGCGCGGCGCGGAGTTGTTCGCGGGTGCGGAGCTGCGCTCGGTGCGGGACCCGCAGTCGGAACGGGCGAGGGACGAACGTCGCTGCTCCCGCAGTGCCCCGGTGGCAGGCGACGGCTTTCGCTGTGGGATGTTCTGGGCATTTTATATTGGCAGGGTGGTCTCCATGATATCTTTTTTCTTTCTTTCGTAGAGGGAGGGGAGAGAGATGGTAAGGGGCTTGTTGGATGATTATAACTGCTACCACTCATAAAGAAGTTTCTTGGGGAAGGACTGATAGCGTACCCTTGATAACTGTGGGTGTGTTCATACATTATTTTCATATGATATGTCTTTTAGACAGAGCTTGTTTTCCTCCTCCCTCTCTCCCCAGCCCACCCTCCACCCCCCGCTTTTTTTTTTTTTTTTTTTTTTTTTTTCTGGAGTTTGTTTCGCTTTTAAACCAGCAGCACAAACAAACAAACACACAAAACCGACTGGCAACAAGTTAAATCTCGTCCGCGTCCCTCCCACCGTGAGCGGACCGTGCCTGGCTACAGCCTGGGGTGGTGGTTTTGCCTCAGCGGTAATCTGACCGAGAAGCGGCTGCACATCGATTTCTGAGCGGTGACATTATGGAGAGAAAAAATGTTGAAAGAAGCACTTCTTCCGGGATGCACCATCTCCTTTGTGTGTTTGCTCCTCTCCATCTTTCAGATGGGGCTCCCCATAGGCTTGCACACACACACACACACACACATACACACACACACACGCACACACATACGCACTGAGGCTCTGTTTCCCCAGGGAGTTTCAGAAAACAATGTTTATTAGAAATGATCTATAAACTCCACCTGAACAATGAAATCATGCCGTAGCTTGGAAAACTCCAACAAATAAATATTTTGCCCAAGTGAGAGGATGGCATTGCACTTTATTTGCCAGCTCGTTGCAAAACGTCAGTAACAAAAGTGTAGATAAAAGGCTCATAGCCCTCGTCCACGTTGGACTGGACAGACCATACCCATTTAGGAACAGGCTGGGTTTGTTTTTCCTCCCAAGGCGGCTACAAACTAGTTTTGCAGTTGTATTAAGTACCGAATCTACAAAAAAACATTTTCTCCCTGAGGGTCCTGCTCATTTCTCGCTGAGCTTCAGAAAGAGCCCCTTACGAGAGTCGCCTGCATCCCATGACACATCTTCTCCTTGCCTTCAGTGCAAAGAACTGCAGACAGACCGTGTTTGCCTGTGCTTAGCGTACCTAGCAGATACCTCTTCACGCAACCGCACAATTCGCAAATGATAGTTTAACTTTCTCTGTTGTGGTGGGCACGTGTTTTGTCATCTGAAATTAACTTGTGAAAGCCTTTGTATCATTTTTTGATTTGTGTTTGGCGACAACGCAGATCATATCTTATTGCGTTGATGGTTGGTACAATTGCTAAATTAAAGGCATGTTTTCGGCTTTGAGAAACGGCAACAAAAAAACAGCCCTCTGAGAGCTCATCCTCAACAAAACAACCCAAAGAGCACCGTAATAACACAGCGCAATATTTCCTGCTTGTGCAGCGCCGATGTCATTCGATATCTGTATTGTCTCTGACTAGGGATACTCAAGGAACTCTCAGACTCTTTACCTATGACCATCACCTAAAGAAATATACAAACAGGATATGGATAATCAGTCCAATTGCCTGGAGGAATGCAATTGGAGTCAAATTCATTTTTTATCTGTGTCCTTACCTGTTTTCCCATGTAAACATTAGGAACTGAACTCGTCTTGACGTGCTTTGGTGCCTGAGCCAGATGGAGCGCGACGAACCACTACGATAAAAAGAGCGAACCCCGTCGTGCGCGGTGCGGTGTTGTTCCCTCTGCTGGGGCTTCTCTTCCCCGCGGAGGGCGTCCCGCCGCGCCCAGCGCTGAGCCCCGCGCTTCCCCGGACACCCGGATTTACGTGCAAAGCCTTTAGCGCGTTGGGGCCGAAATTATGATTTTCCACGTTTCCAAAGGGACGGGGCTCTATTTATAAATGTTACAGGAGGTTTCGTTACTTCAGGAACAACAAAACAGGAACAGAGCTGTAATTTTCAGGAAAATAGGATTTCAAAATACAGAAATAAAAAAGTAGAGAAGACGACATATAATTCAATCAAATTACAGACAATTGCTTTAAAATTCAGAATAGTAGCGATCCATTATGTCTCTGTTTTATTAGTGACAAGTACAATTACTCTAAAATAAAGAACACTGGTGAATATATAATTGGCTGTAATCACGTTAGTGTTGGAATAAAAATGACGGGGACATTTAACACTTTGACAACAAAATGCTCAGAAACAACTTATTTATTCAAACAGTTTTTATTTTCGTTCACGTGAGGCAGAAACACGCTTTTGCTTACGATAAATCAATGTAGATTTTTTTTTCCACTTTCAATATACATATAACTAAAGAAAGATTATTAATTATTTTGTTATCTGCGGATTAATGAAGTCTTCCGAGCGCGGCTGCATTGCCGTCGATCGCTCGTACCCAGAGAACGCCATCTACAGGAAAAGGGCTTCAGACTGAGCACAAATTTATACACTATTGGTTAAGAAAAAAAAAATCAGAGTTAATATTCCTCTCTAAATCCGGCTCCGATGTTACCCACCGCACCGATCACAATATTTGCTTTGTAATTGCTTTTCGCGATTCAGTTTGTTACAGTTTGACACAATGTAAGAATCTGTTACGAGGCCTTTTCTTTGAGATGCGGCATTGCAGAAATACACTGAACTCCACGAAGAATCACTTTTTCTCTCCCTAAAGCAGCTCTTTTCTCTCGGGAGTGACATGATCGTCCCAGCGATCAGCCCAGACGCTCTATCCCTTCAAACGAAGTGTGGAAGACGCCTGCAAAGGAAACTCAAAAACAAAATCACTTGATTGAAGTCATTTTGTACAACAATTGCGTCGTAGAATAAGACATGACATTTCTTTATCTTTACTTTCACTTATTTCCCTTTGGATAACGCCTATAAACACCCTAGGCATGCTCTCCTCTACTCGTGTAGAACATCCTTTGCCCCATTGCGTAGTCCCTAAAAGTGCAGCTCAGCTGTGCTGTTCATTTCTGAGCCTTTGACGGAACCTCATCGAAGTAGAAAGATTGGCCCTTAATATTTCGGTCAGATAACTGTAGACCCGTGGAGACAGCATATATCCTCCGTGGCGAGAATCCAGCACCCCAAACAAGCCATAGAAAATAAGAGAAAATAAAGAAAAACGAGGAAACTTTCCAGACTCATCTCTCCGCATTTATTTTCTCTTTTTCTCACGGATTTTTTTCAATTCCGAACGAATATTTCTTCTATTTCTTTATTCCTTTATTTACTCTTTACCTCCCACTAGGAGGTAAAGGTGCCCCTTTGGGTATGTGTCTCTATTCGGAGCCGGATCCCACCTTCTCCCCGCTCCATGCCGTCTCAGCGCCCTGTTGGTGTCGGCCCCGAGCGTCCCCCGCCCGCGGTTCCCGCAGCACTCTGCTTTCTCCCTCCTTAACCCGGGCCACAAATCCGGACGGGCTCAGAGAATTTCAGGTGTGCATTAATCTGTGCAGCGCAGCACCAAAAGCAGCGGTTAGTTACATAATTGCTGAGAAAAACTACCAACGGTGCACCCTCGATGTAACGTGTTAGTTTGAAAACAAAAGCCGGGAAACTTTATTATTGTTATTCATGCTCCTACTGGGATCAGACTCAAGTTTACACCCGAGGTCTCCTTCTATCTTCTCGCTTCGGGGCACTGACAGCGAATGTCCCAAATCGAGAATCTGTGCTACATCCCCACTTTTAAACCTCGCTTAATGCCAGGATAACTCCTTATCTCCCTCCCACCCCCTCGGCTTGCCGCTCCCGCAGAGCAGAGGGGCCCCGCTGTCCCTCCCCTCGGGCCGGGCTCTGCCGTTTCTAGGGTGCCTCGCACCAAACCACAGATGTCAGCCTTCCCCCTACGTGTTCGGGCTGTTAATGCGGGCACTTCACACAACAGAAATGTTCATCTCTGGAGCCTTTCCCAGGGACCAGCCGCGGATTTCGCGCGTCGCCTCCGTCGCGGGCGGTCCTGAAGCCGCCGGCGAGGGAGACGGGGGCTACCTCGCTGCACGGCAGCCACCCTGTCCCGGGATGCCGCCTGTAGCCGGCTGCAGCCCAGCTCCACAAATTCTCGCGGGTGCACGGTACCACATTCCCAGCTCGATACCTCCTTTGATTTTTTCGTCGTAATTAACACCGACCCTTGTCCCACAGTCACCAACCAGGTGGTTGGGCCGGGCAGGGATCTCAGAAAGTCTCATTGTCCCTTGGACCCCCGGGGCTGCTCCTTCGCACCCCGCTGAAGGGGTCCCCGTGTTTCCCTCGGGTTGGGTCGGGCCGGGCCAGAAGAGCAGCCGCCCTCCCGCTGGCGGAAAGGAGAGCGATGCGAACGGCGCCGGCGACATCTAGCGGCCTCTGGCCGGCAGTGCAGCCCGAGCCCGGCAGCCAGGCTCAGGAGTGGGGACGAGGCTCTGCGTGCACCAGGGGCTGTTCCCGTGCCCGAGGGGCTCGCCCTGCTACCTTCTCCTGCCCGCCCGAGGAAAGTTGATGCCGGCGGCCCGGCCTCTTGCATAGGAGCTGCATTGGAGCTGCAGAGAGGGCTTTAAGTGCATGCGCTGAAAGAGGCCTAAGGAAAATAGTGCTCTCTGCTCAGCCTGACCGGCACACTCTCTGCGAGGAACTGTGGATGTTTGCGCCCAGATGAGGCCCGGCCCAGCCCGGCGTCAGGGCACCGCATAGGGCAGGGGCAGCGGGAGAGTCCGACCCGACAATGGGGAGTGCCTCCGCTTTCTGCGGGAGGGGACAGTTCTGAAGAGCTGTAGATTTTTCATAAATGTATTTTAACCCCTCTGTTAAGCAACGAGTTTTTTTTTTTCGCCTCAGACAATGGAGGGGGCCGGTGTTCAAATGGAAGAACTTATTTCTCACACGGCAAAAGCAGGAGAAGCCCGGCCTGTAGGAGTGCCTCCCTGAGCAGAAGAGGGGAGAGGGTGTTGGGGCCTGAAGTTTCGCCCCGTTCATGAGGATGCTGGTTGCGAAGCGATGCACGCCTCTGATCACGGGACACTTGAACCCAACAACAAACGATGGAAACGCGCTGTCTTAGTGCTCTTTAATATCTTTGCTTAACGCTCTTTTATTTCCCCAGAAGATCCTTTCTAGCCCCCGCAGCTGACCACATCATTTGTCCCCTTGCACACACATGTCTTGGAGGCTGCCGACGTGAACCGGGGCCGAACGGCTCCGTCCCGACCGCTCCGCGAAGCGACCGCGGCCCCGACCTTCCCCAGCTCTGTTCGCTGCCCTGTGCGGAGCTCTCAGCAGCGCCACAGTGACAGCAGCTGTTCCTCGAACGGAACACGGCTGACCTGCACTTCTCCACAACGCCGACAGCTCCTCAGTTCTATCTCCGAAGGGAATCTGCAATTACGAGCTCGCCTCGTCCCCTCTCGCTCACATTCTCTTGTTTGAGACATTCGCTGAGGAAGTTTATTTGGATTGCGAGTGAAATCAAACAGGGAGGGGAAGGAATACAAAGCACAAACCAGCACCCCAGCGAAACCCTCCATTTGTTATTGACAATACTAATTGTCATGTTTCACTCCGGCTGTCTGCTGAGCTCGGGGAAATAACTGTGACTGCACTGAAGACAAAGCAGAAGCAGCTGTATTTGAATCTATCAAACCCTATCAAACGTGCTCCTGCTTCACAGCTCTCGGGGCTGTTGTGAGGCGCATGGCCCCAGTGCCGACAAGACCGAGATGTGCGCGGGGACACAGGGACCTTGCTCTGGTCAGGGGAAGCACAGAGATTCCTTTAGCAAAGAAGCCAGGCGCTCCTCCTCCCTCCAGTTCGGAGCTCTACATGCCTGCTGGGCCCGGGTAAGGGCACACCCGACGGCCCCGCTCCGCCCCTGCGGCCCTGCACGGGTTGCTCCGCTTTACACCTCCTGGCGGTGCCTGAAAGCAGCACTTTGGCACACCGCGGTCCGGCGGCTGTGGGGCGCTGCCATCCACGCCTCCGTGGAGCTCCGAGCGTGTCCCGGCCCTCCCCACTTTCCCTTCGCCCCTCCAGCACACGGCCCTTCCTCAGTGCCGCCAGCGGCTTTTGATGTGCGGTGTCCTTCAGGAAATGGAAGCAGGGAAATGAAAAGTAATGTGATCAATTATTATTTTTATAGCGTATTTATGGACGGGTGGAAGTAATAACTGTTATTTGCTTTGTCGAAGCATTTATTCACACTTGGTCTATTTCCTTACAACTGGAGAATCACCGTGGGAAAAATAAGCACAAATAAATTAAAGTAACAAAAATACATTTTTAGCAAAAAAGCTATCCTTCTCCTGCTTAATTTTCCCGGGTGCGTTTCTCCCACCTGACATTAACTCAAGCCAACAAGAGGGCCCAAGCAGGTCGCTCCCAGCCCATCAGATAGGCAAGGAGCAAAACAATCATTTGCCTATCTGGACCTTCATAACATGCTACTTAGTTTTCTGTTTGGGGATAGGGAACAACATTTGGGTAGGAATCCTAGAGGGGCTCTCATAGGCTCTGCCACTGCTCCTGGACCCTTGGCTCCCCTATCTCCCTCCACCCATCTGCAGGATGGCAACTCCTTTCCTTTTTGATGGGGTCAGGGAAGGGCAGAGGAGAGGGGAATTTTAAAAAGTACACTTCTTTTGTGTTTGTCAGGGATTTCAAGCCTGATGCCAAGCACTTGAGCACGGGGCACCCCCACATTGGTGCTGCACAGACTGCTGGGTCCCTGGCTCTGCCCTTCACTTTTCCCAAGCGCATTGAACTGGGTTGGCAGGAGTCTCTCTCAAGAAAGATGGTCCTGTACGGGACAAAGAAGGCAGAGGCTTGTTCTTTAGAGACACTTCTGGGGCTCATTTGGCATGGGATGTAAGGAGAAACTCCAAAAACACTGCTTGGCACTTACATAAAAATCTTCCCATTTGTAAGTCAGCTAATTCTCCTGTTAGCTGCCTGAGATTACAGCCCTATCTTCTAGACAAAGGCAGACAAGTTAAACCTCCATAAAGTTTGTAACGACAAATTACTTCTTTTCTTTCTCTTTTTCTCTCTCTCTTTTTTTTTTTTTTTTTTTTTTTTTCCCTCAAGTGAACTATTTTAGTTGAGGTAGACAGATTACTTTTTATAATAATAAACCATCTGAAAGCTACTGGGAAGTTTCCAACACATAAAAAGTGGCAATCTTGTTTAAACTCTGGGAAATATAATTGTCTGCCCTTCCTGTATGTTTTGCATTTTTGAAGTGTACCATTTGAGGCATAATATACATTTTGAAATCCCATATATGCATCTTTACAATAGTAATGGCTTTCCACAAGCTCTGTGGGAGGTGACATTTCAGCAAGACACTTCCCCTTGACTTTGTTTATTCCAGCAGCTTAAATTCTACCTCTGGTGATAGCTGTTAACTTGGCAATGTGAAAAGTGCTACATGATGTGTACTGTGCTCAGTCAGCTCATCAGAAGCTCACCAATTATGACTGCAGAGCCCATTCTTCCTGCCACAGCATGCCACCCACCATGTGTGCCTGGGACAGTCGATCTTCGCGTGTGCATAAATCTGAAAGCGTGCACACACTTACACAGAGCCCAAACAAAGCAGGCACAATGGGGCTAGTGCTTCCTGGAAGCCCTTTTTGTTTCTTGCACATTTTGTACAGGGACTGTTGTATCACCTCCGGCTCCCTGTCTGCCTTGGAAATGTTGAGAGAGTAGCTTGTGCAGTGTCACTCTGCGCAGAGATCCACTTTGTACATAACAGGTAGTTGGGATGCCTGTTTTTGGGCAGGGAACCACAGTAAAACAGGAGGCTGCTGATTTCAAAATTATCCATTTAACCTGTGGCTCATGTCTGGGAGTAGACTATAGGCTCGTATCATTGAAGTATACCTATGGATTGGGTGCTTCCACATTATGAAAAGAATAACTTTGTTAACTTTTGTAAACCTGCTTCCCCATTATGAAACCTGATCTCTCTTTAATGTCTCTTAACGACATCAGTGAGGCAAGATTTAATTCTAGACAGAATTTGCTATTTGTCAAGCATGGCGTGGTACTTAAGCTTCAAAAATAATGCTACCTTTAAGTATTAATTTTTGTTTGGAATATCCTTCTGAACTTGCAAAATCCAGATTGGGCTTTTTTGTTAAACTGTAATCTGCATTTCTCCAAACACATATTTTTCTTATTTTCAAAGCAACTATTTACAAAGCAATTTAGTGCCAGACTCTGTCACCTTTCACTGTAGTCTCTTTGCATCAGCTAAAATAGAAGTAACTGTTCAAGTAAGCAGAGTAACACTAGTGAAAAAAAACCAGAATAAATAATCAGAGAATCAAGCCCTTTGAATAGCAAATGAGTCCATAAATAGTCCCATTGATTTCAGTAGTATTTCATGGCATAAGTAGCTACATTAATGGAAGCAGCATATAGGACTCTTAGTGCATAGACAGACCCAAAAAAAAAAAAAAAAAAAAAAAAAAAAAGATTTATTTTGAAAAAATTATTTCACAGAACATTATTTAGTTGACATATTGTTTGCTTATTGCATGATTTACTGGAGGCAAAACCATGTGAACTGACTACAGCAAAGGCTCCTGGTAGCTGCTAAGACAATCCAAGGTACCTGGTGACAAGAGCACTGTGACCCTTTTTTAACACACAGAAAAGAAGCAAATTCACTTCAGTGGAATGCTTTCCACTGTGTATTACAAATGCTTCTTTCAGCATGAAGGGAA